GCCGACGTTGATTTCGAAGATGTTGAACGACGAAGACGTTGACGTCGCGCAAGCGTGTGAGCGCGCCTCGAGCTTCCCCGCCACTGCAAATTGAGCACCCGCCGCGTTGCTTTGACTATACTTTGTAGCCTTTTTCACTTATAACAAAATTCCGGTTACAATGTATTCTTACAACCAGAGTTTATACTATTTACAAAAGGACGCCGATATTTTGCTTCCGAAGTTGCGTCATCGATAAGTCTGTACAGATTCTATCACGAAGACCATGTCACCGACACAAAGCATGGTTGTAGGTGACTACGACACTCTCAAGGCATTGCAGAAATCTATGCGTGCAAACACAGACATTAGAGAGAAGCCACGACACCACAAACGAGGCAAGGTTACAGTTAATGCATTAGAAAAGCACCTTTCAGGCTCATGCGCCGAAAATGGGCAGTCAAAATAACGTTTTAGGTCACAGACACCATAAATATAGGTCCACTAAATTTTACATAAATAGAAAAAAATTACAACGAAGGCTAGCGCGATCAATCTGCGACGGGGGAATTGTTTATCGCGGTCAAAAGGCGCCAACGGTTGAACACAGCAGTGCCAAAAAAGGTATTTGTAAGCACTATCACAGCCCTTCTTCATTAAGCTCTAATTCGCGCTCATATACCAGACTGACGTGAGAGGAGCACAAGGGACAAAGTAAACGTTCACCTAAAATCCGCTCTGTATTCATAACACAAAATTTCCAAGCTGAAAGGTAGCGCATCTTAAAGTTAAGTATACGCACGTTAATATCGGCACGTTTCAAGTACAATCTCTGATTAAAAATAACTTTGGTGTTCCCTCGTATGTCGCTCGCGATTGTGCATGGTTCTGGAAAACAATACTGGAGTCCTGTTGAGCCAGGAATTCCCAGCTGGATTTCCCAGAACACATGTAGCCGATTGTACCTTCTTTATATTACTCTGCGGTGTATCAAGCAAGGCCACTTCAGCATATGCGCGACGAAAAGCTCATCGTGTTTGGATAGTAGGTTTAAAAGTTCGGTCCACTTGAAAGCCACCAAGCAACAATGGGCACATGATAACACGGCGCACTAATGGAGTTTCACGAGGCTTATCGTGCCACATCTCAATTTTTTATTTTGCGTTTTTAAGCGTTATGTATTAGCGATTCAAACGTTGTTGAAGTAGTAGTAGTAGTAGTAGTAGTAGTAGTAGTAGTAGTAGTAGTAGTAGTAGTAGTAGTAGTCATGGCTGCAATGGTAGTAGTTTCTACGTTTGCATTTGATCATCTCGTATTCAGTGTCTCATGTGTAGTAGTAGTAGTAGTAGTAGTAATAGTAGTAGTAGTAGTAGTAGTAGTAGTAGTAGTAGTAGTAGTGGGAGCAGAGGCCTCTGCAGCTTAGTGGTACTGGCAGCCATGGCTGCAATGGTAGTAGTTTCTACGTTCGCATTTTATCATCTCGTGGAGAGTGTCTCTTGTCAATTCATTCGACGAGAATATTTAATCTCATATTTCATGTGATGCTTAAAATCCTGTTCGTTTCATTAATTCATGTAATCAAATCATGCCCAGTAGCTTCAAATTCATCCTACGTGCAAGACCTCATTTCGCATGCAGATCTTCTTCGTAACTGCCATAAATGGTCTCTTTCCATGAAATATATATTCTGTGCTCAGCCGCGCCACTTTCCTCATATGACCAACCACGACGGGGCTTGACTGGAGGCACGCGCGTCGTGTCTCCCCTCAAGGGGGCAGCGATTGGAAAGTGTCTCATAACTCCCCCTCCCCCTTTAAAGACGATAGTTTTTCTTGGGGACCTTCGACGCAAACAATTTGGTCTATCTGTACATTTGTCTGTTTGTCCGCCCTTAACGGTACCCTAAATGACACCAAAGTGGCCAAACCATACTCCAAATGTCTGACCCCATCCGCAGCGCCAACCAATGTTGCTCAAAATTTAGCGTTCATACTTGTGCGATTGGGAATTAAAAAAAACAATTATTGCGCATATCTGAGGCACCATGGCAACACGTCAATATTCTGTATGTGTGTCCCTTACTAGAAGAGTCATACATAAGTAATTCTAAGGACCGTAGCGTTTATCACGTTGCGCTGACCATGTAACGCTTGCACGAAATGGCAAGTGTTTCCAACGCTTCGCTAAGACGACACGGTGGTGGCACCTACCCGTCGCCTTGCGTTCTACAGCTTATCACCTCCGAGACGGGCGCGCATGGCGCGCGCGTGTCGTTTTACAAGATAATTACCAGATAGCGCTCATGCCTCACGTGTGATGTGACTTGATGCACTCGTTCGCCTCCGCTGCACGCTCGAGGCACCCTAAAGCAGCGCCTCCACAATACCATTCACCGATTGTCTTGCGCAGAACATCAAATAAACGTTTTGTTCACTCTCTCCAAACGCAAGACTATCGTCTTTCGTGTAACATGCAGATATGGGGCCTTTTTTTTCTTGAGTTTATCGATTTTGCATGTGTATAAACGCACGCAAACATTCATTCAAACACGCTTAAACCAGCAAAGTCACCGCCCGTCCCCGCCCCTTCTCCCAAAGAAAAAACTTATGGCTACGGCCCGTCGCAACTTTAAGACACGATTGCGATATTAAATATACCTAATAGTGACCCTGCCATCTTATTTTTTTTGAGCGTATTCCCGCAAACCGCCTTATAATGCGTAGTTCAGTTACCATTGCTACATGACGTTAAAGCTTAATGTTGGTTATAAATATTATTAATTGTTGGGGTTTAACGTCCCAAAACCACCATATGATTATGAGAGACGCTGTAGATGAGGGCTCCGGAAATTTCGAGTACGTGGGGCTCTTTAACCATGCACCTAAATCTAAGCACACGGACCTCAAGCATCTTCGCCTACATCGAAAAAATGTTCGTCAGAAATCGTATGGAACTGTTTCAGTGAATGCACTGAAACAGTCAGTCACCCAAAAAGAGCCACTAAAACAACGAAAGGGAAAATAAATAAATAAATCGAGAGGCAGAAGCAGAGGCTGTGACACAGGGGTGGCTACTAACAACTTATATTTAATTTCTAAAAAAAAAAACGTCTCCTCCTATGTTACGGAGCATGTGCGAAAGCACCAGGCTAGATCACTAATTCGATCTTATTCATGCAAATCACCGCTGTTCAAGAATATCCACTCAATTTTCTAGTCAAAAACACGGACAGTGCGCCTACACATTTTTCACGCATGAGTTTCCAAAGGCGATATGCCTTAATCAACTCAATTTTACGCTGCATTGTAGTAAGTCTTCTTAGCCTTACCTACAATAAATACATTTCCGAACATGGGTGTACAGCCGCACTGCTTACAATATAGCCGAAGGCTGTCATCAGTGCAAGAGAGTAATAGATTTGCATACTCCCGCAAACGAAGATTAACACAGCAACCAGATTTTCTAATGCATTGCTTATCACAACTAAGCGGAGCACTATATACATCACACATGTGTATCACACCACACGCGCAGTAATTCTTGACATGTTCGACGTCACATGCTTTCCTTTCTATGCGTAGCTGCGAAACCCTCTTGCACCGACTTACAAGTTTGCATGGTGTAGAACAGACCGATCTGATATATTTCTCGAAGCGACATTTTTCAAACTGTGTGAAATACCGTGTACGCACGGCATAAGCGCGAGGTGCTTTTTCTGCGGGTCCCGAACATCGCAATCACTCCAGTGTTATAAATATACAGAGTAAAATGCGTCAATGCTCATTCTTTTGTTGATGCTTGGCCGGTACTCGAAATCCACCATGTCACTGGCAAAAGGCTACCGTCAATTATCCCGCGCAAACCTGGTACCCGCGTTTGTCCTGCCATCTGTTGGACGTCAATGCAATCTGGAAAATAACTGGCTTCTCTGGAAAATAAATTCGGCCATAACACAAAACTGGAAGAAGCAAAATCGGAACGAGAATGGCGTATAATAACAAAAAACACTATAACCGAAGCCAGCACAGAGATGTGGCGCACGTCGGCGGCAAAGAAAAGGAGCCTACAGTTATACCTCGAATACAAGCAGGCTCCAGACCGTGAGCCATTTTACAGGGGCGACCGGGAAAGCGCCCTCCTGTTCCAAGCCAGGACGGGGTCACTGCCCACGCGGAAGCGGCATTGGGAACTGTTCGACACGGACCCGTCGTGCCGCCTATGCGGGGCCACGGAAGAAACCATCCAACATATCCTGATGGATTGCCCGCGACTCGGAGCGAGGGACCTACCCAAGATAAACCTGGCGGAATATCTGGGTCTCCCAGATGATCCCGTCGACACCCGAGTCGAACACACCGAGAGTGCCAAGCGACGTCTAAAACTCTGGGACAGACTGTGCTGGCAGGTGGACAAACACCCCGACAGTGTCCAGCGCAACGAAGGGCCGACAGAAAATATCTAAACGACGCCGACGCCACTGGATAGACTTGGCCGAGGGCACGTTTCCCCTGGTGGCGAAACGGGCAATTTACTACCAGACCTTTCTTTCTTCGAACAGTAAAGTGGAAAACGTGTGAGTGCGTGTTCGCGTGAAGTGCGTGTAAAACACAAAATGTTTTTTTTTTTTTTGACGGTGGCGCGGCAAGCGCCTGACTGGTGATGTGTGTGTGCGTGTGTATGGATGTGCGTTGAAGCGCACAACTTTGTCCTGTGGCGCTGCTGGCGCCTGCCCTGTGCCAAAAGGGATTAGGAGCACCTACTTACTTACTTACTAATCTTTCGTCATGATACCCGGCCTTCAAGATTTACACATGCCCTTTCACAGAGACTTGTTTTTTCTTTATCAAAACTGCGTGACGTTACGTGAGTTATCTCAACAACATAACCAACAATAATAAAAACATAACATACCAGGCAATTTAAATAAAAACTATTTTCATTTGTGACAGCTTGGTAGCACGCCCTTGATTCGTCTTTTTGACGCAACCAATGACGTCACCAGGCGAAACTGAATGGGGAAAAACGCCGCATTGTATGCAGACGCTTGAAATGGCTGCGGAAGATTCGAACGAAGCGATGACACACCACGAAACGGCGCACTGCGAGAAATCGGCGGCACCCGGAACCGACATCTTCAGAGATACACCGGTTCGCTTGCTAGGTATGTCTCCGAAAGCTTTCGTTTTGTCGATGATCAATGTGATGGTGATTGGTAAGACTCAGACGGGCACGCACATACGGGCGTGTGCTCGTCACGTGCGGAAGGATTAACGAGCCTATAGCCGTCGATATCGTGATGTGTCCAGAAGCACTGGTGAAAAAGGAAGTTCATATGTCGCCAGAGGCCACATTTTAAGGCAATCACTTTCGGCTATACTATCGCGCTTTTCCCATAGACGTGCACAACCAGAGAGATCGAACCCCAATAAAGCTGGGACTTTAGAAACTAGGCTATATGTGACTATGCGTACGTGGTATTTCCAAAATACGCAGTGCGTGTGTCCGCGAGCAGCACTAGAAGCTTCATTTGAATAATTCGCTCGCGCTCGCAATCGGACGCGTGGTATTGCTGTTATTTTCGGCATAAAAGCCCCGCCAGAGGCCCCGCTTGAACGATGTTCCGTGGAGTGCGACATTTTTTTATCCAAGCTGGTATTAACATACGTTATTCATAAGGCACAATGGTTGGTTTATCGTACATTATGCTAGCTTGCACAGCGTCTTGCTCGCTCCTGGTAGATTGAGCTAGCCATGTGCACTCGTGAAAGTTTAACCTGGGTGTACGTGCGGAGGCTCTCTGGCCATAGCCATGGATTTATAAATCCAGTGCACCGCAGGCTCGCGATGTGATCGTTTTCGCGAAAACGTGTCCTATGCTTTTGACTCCTAATTATTATAAAAACTGAAAAAACATGAATAAGGAATGGTGTTAAATGATTCCTTTAGAGAGCGAAGAAAATAATAAAGAAATAAATATTTACAAATATGAAATGCGCAAGTGATCCAGATACTAATAATATGTCAGGCAAATTGAGGCTTTTTTGTACGCTTTCCAATAAGGCCAATTGCTGACAGGTATTTCCCCTATCATGTACTACTTGGATGCATATATGCTGCAAGACATCTGTCGATACATGGCCTTGAGACATCCACTTCTCTTTTCAGGCTATGCAAATGAAGTAGGAGAAGCCATCCGGTCCCTAGTTCACGTCAACGTCGTCCGCCTGTCCTATGCTGTAGCAAGTGCCTACGTCGTGGTCGACACAACAGACAAGGTCTTGAAGGCAGACAAGGTACACGAACAACACCACTTTACAGTAGAGTTACTGGCGACCATTAATCATTGCTGTACTGTTGAAGTTATTGGTGCCCATTGTATTACACACTGTAGTTGTACAGCAAAACAAGACTGCTGGGGGTTAGCATCTAGGAATACGAAGAATTGACCAGCCGTGCAAAAATGCAAAGCATGGTCCGTCCATAACAGGGCCGTTCCAAAAAGCATTGAGACGGTATGATAAAAAGAATTTGTTGATTCAGTCAGTACACATTGTTAAAGGGTCTCTAAAGACCGAAACAATTTTTCACGTATTAGTAAAGTACAATTTCATGATCCCAAAAGCATCACTCTTACCTGACACATGGTAAGTGAGGAAACGCGCGAAATTAAACCTCCAGTAGAGATTCCACTTTGAGATTCTCGCACCAGACACTGTGACATCATAAACTTTGAAGGCAAAAAGCAGCATTTTATTGCGTCTCTTGATGCATAAAAGGTTCTTTATTTAGTGCAGCTAGATCGATTACTAGTAATTATTGATAGGCAGTTTGCCTGATGCCATCGGTATCATTTTGATAAAGTCCTACTTCAGCGCATGTATTCTTTTGAATATACCTTAATTTCTTGGTAACTAGGGCACTCCTGTTGATAATATTGTGATTTTAGATTTTGTCATACGTTAAGCTTTCACTCCGACGTCAATTGTTAGTCCACTTTAGTGTTCCTTTAAGTGAGAATAAGTAAAGAGCGACGCGCACATAGCACTTCTTTATTACCTTTTCTTCAGTTAGATGTTTTTTTCACATGTTTTGGTGAACACAGGTGTGTAGTTGCTGCTTTCGTCATGTGCCCCATATCTTATGTTCTGTTTCGCTTTTCAAAAAATTTGCTGCACAGCTTCCAGTGTTAAGAGAAAGTTTTCTAGATGAAATGACTGTATGGAAATTCAAGCTTTATGTGGAAGAGACCCAATTGTGGTAGTTTACTTATACTTAATGTTCAACATCAGAAGAACTGCACAGTTACATTCATTAAAAATACTTGAAAGTATTTTGTTTCAATGTAAACGTGACAACGTGACAAAGGCGTGACTAATGGTGCTCGGTGAATTCTAATGGCGCTTTGTTTGTAGCATAAATGCAGATAATAGGACAAAGAACATTACAAGGATGCGTACTGTACTCGTCTAATGCGTGATTCATTTAGAGCTGTCCTATTTCATTGGGTTGTACTTTCCTTATAAGTTGTCCGGTGTTTATGCGGTTTGTAGAAAAAAATTAAGGACAAAAATTTTATGGTTCGCTCTGTTTCTTGATGTGCAACACAGAAAAAAACAAGTAAATAAGAAGGAACGAAAACTGCGACATTCTGTGAAAATCTATACAATGAGGGACTGCATACTGTTGCAGTCAAGAAGTGACGTTTTTATAGGGCATTTCGACATCGTGATGACGTCCAACTGGTTTATTCAAGTAGAAATACAGAATTTATATCACTAGTTGAAAGTCAGTGCCTTGGTTGTCTCTGCGTGTCCATCTGTTGTTTCTTGCGCTGTTCTTTTGTATATCTTTGCGATCATAAATATAATCAACTAGCTCGATACAGCCCCATTACTTGACCAAGTATCTACATGCTACATATGGATGAGGTAACAAGTTGCATTCCTTGATTGTACCGGAAATGCAGAATTTTTGAAAATTTCAGTGTTAGAATGCATTCGGGAAGGTCGTGTTTGTTTCTCAGGCATGGCAGAATAAATGGAACAAACCAGGGGAAACATAGAAATCATTGTCTTTACTACTAGCACGCTAAAAATTGAAAAACAATCCTATGTTTCTTTCTGAGCCGTTTCGTTTCTGCAGCGTTAGTCATGATCTCAGCACCGACAAAAACCTCACAGTCTGCGGAAAATACGTATATGTGTGCTGCTTGAAGTTCCTCCTCACGTCTACATGTTATTTTTTAGACTTGTGCACAATAGCAACACTACAACTAAATTTGAGCCTCACGGAGGTTTAGGGGCCCCTTAATATGGGCCTCTGTACACGTGAGAGCTCCACAATGTGTTCACTCTAACGGAAGCAACACTGTCTTGCAGGTCAAGTGCCCCGATGCTAAAGCCCACTGTAACAAGCTGTTCAACACTGTCGTGAACACACTGGTGTGGCAAGCGTTGGACTCAGTCATCATACCTGGTTTCGCAATCAACAGGGTGTGCACGCTGTCTCTCTTTCTGCTCAAGCACTACTCGAGCATGCCCCTCAAAGCCTGCAAGTGGACTACGACCGGCGTGGGTCTGGGCTGCATCCCTTTCACTGTGTCGCCCATAGACCACGGTGTTCATGCGCTCATTGGCAAGACGCTCCGTCCGTGGTTGCACGCAAAGGAGTCTTCCGACTGACCATTTTCTTTTCTAGTGTCAAGCAATACCTTTTACTAGTTCAAAGATCTTTGCAAGATGCTCATAAAACAAAACGTGTATGGACACATTCGAAACCCGCAGTAATGAAATCACTCTCCGACGACATGTCTCAGTGTCCCAAGCGAGCAAGTATTCAATGCGTGTCATATTTTCGAACGATGGAACTTTTCTAAGCTGCAATATCACCCAAAAAAACGGAAGGAATGTTCTCCCACACCATTTGGTTACACATTTTCTGTTCCCACAAGGCCAGCATATTCCAAAATGTGCTCGTATATCTTTGCTTCACGTTTAAATTGTGAACAAGTACAGCTGCAATGTGCTTGCCTAGGTGCTTTCATATTTGCTTATGAAATTGGAACACTGCTGAAAGCGGTCTGGTGTGCAAGACATTGCCTTCCCACTATGTTGCTTGTTTAGTGCAGTTCTTCCTCCTTTTTTTTTTTTAAGTGTTCATAGCCACATTAGAAAGTAGCAACTCAGCCGTCCAAATTATCGGCACAGCAGCTCGCTGTTTGCTGTTCTCAGGCTGCCGGGTACAAATGGTTTTGCTCGCGCTTGTAAAGTTAAGGTTTGCTCGCGCACATAAGCATCAGTTATTTGAAAACGGTGCCTACAAGTACCCTTGACCAGTGCACCTATTTGTGTTCAGCCACGCTTCTATGCCATCACCAGTGCCTGGTTTTTCGTGAACTATGCCGCTGCCATCAAGACTTGTGACTCATAGACACTTTGCTTAAAACCTTTCATTGGATTGAGGCATCACCTTCTGTTTGAACGCAGACAAGTTCCTTTGCCAAAGATTGTCTTCACTCTCATTCTATGTCACAATAACTCGTTACAACATGTTGGTCTTCATTGTATAGTTGACCATGTGTAGCAGCGAACGTATGGTAAGAAGCTATTGAAACAAAGTTCAAGCTAGTATACCTGCAATCACCAGTCTTTCCACATGGTGCCAGAATGCACCAGTCATGTAAAACAAGGGGTAGCGTTCTTAAAATAGTGATGTGCAGCTCACGTTTTTCTTGATTTCAGCATCCGCTTAAAATCCAACAAAAGACAAACTTTTTGGCAATGTAAAGAAACTTGTGTTGCTTACGTAGACGTGGGCACGATTTTGTATCAGCGGAAGCCACAATTGACCGCTTTTTGGTAGCGCACCCTTGGGCAGCTGCCATCTCATATGGCGTCCCGGACTAGGGACTGCCACCAAGGTGCACGGGAACTCTCTAGTGCATTTCAGAATAAAAAGTTTACTACCGCCACCCCCACCACCGCCTTTTTGTCAAGTTCATAAAAAAACAAGCTTCGAAATGAGTGAAAAAGCGTAAACGAAGCAATGACGGGCTTAACAACTTTGAAGCAATGGTGGGTCAAGTTCAACTGAGTAACTTGGCAGCCCACCTCAGACTTAGCACTTCCTCAGATGATTAGAAAGGCGCCTCTCCTTCCCCCCCTCGCCCCCTAACCCTTGTGCACACACCTTTATTCTCATATAAAAAGCAGCCTAGAGCAAGACATTCGTGCCAGGAACAAGAATGATTATGTCATAAGTTTGACCTTCACGATGTCGAAACTGGAGCTAGTGATGCAAAACTCGGCAATGTTACATTTGAAAACCATCGCATGGTCTACTGCGATTCGAACATGCCATAAACTACATGTACATAGTCACAAAACGTGTATTTACATGCATTTCACATAGTTTCACATATGCAATTTTTTCAGCGTGGGCATTCAAAAATGCTACATGTTTGAATGTCTTTTTGGGTTTTTTCATGTCGAACTTGGTTACTTTCATGCACGCCATGAAGTGCCTGTAAGACTTGATGTAAAGGTGTTCAACATTAAAATGTAATGATTTCCAAGCCCCACAGATCTGCCAAAATACTTCCATTGTACACTGTGTTCTTTAGCAGGGGAACACGCGAAGGTGTGGCCTGCGCTCTGCGGCGGCTGCCTACAGCGCCATCAACCGACAATTAAGAAAGCACATCGCTTTTTCGCGTCTCTATGACCAAGCAAGATAACGAGTTACGGTCGGTAGACAAGTGCTGCTAAATCACGTTTCCTGATCGATCGCGCGGCGTGCAATATCGGGCAATTACTGCAGCTTGCGTCATGGTCGCAAACAACGTTATATGTTGGCAGTCGACTACGCACTGCAGGCATGAGTGGAGGAGAGTGCAATCTAGCAGTGCTTGTCTACCGGCCATAACTCGTTATTATCTTTTTCGGCAACAGATGACGCTGAAAGCGAACGTGTTTCCTTTTGCTGTCGGTTGATGGTTCTGTAGGCAGCCGCCGCAGGGTGCAGGCCACGCGTTCACGTGTTCCTTTTCATAAAGGACGACTGTGTACATACCGCTCATTTGAAATCAATTCAAGAATTTTTTTAATTGTGTGCAGCTAGCCATGTGATCGTACTGTGGTAAAATTGTGCTGCAGGACACATACTACATTATTTGTTTCATTTTTACAAGACATGCTTTCAATATATGCTTTCAATGTGCCAAGCATTTGCTAAAAGTAATAAAATGGCTACCTATAATACCCACGGTTACAAAGTGCCATATTGACGCGTTTCTACAAGAGTACACCTTCAGAAGGCGGCGAGATTATCCGCTGCCTGCGAATGGCAGATGGGCAAAAAAACCTGCGCCAATAAGAATGCTCTTGACAGAGTGTGTCGCAGGTCACACAGTCGGTGACACTACCATCGGAGAACATTGCAAAGTACGTAAGCAGGACTATTCCTCTCACTCGGAGCAGACACTGTTATCGGCCTCTCTGCCAAATTTTACGGTCATGCACTGCAAAAAGCAACCGCAGAATGCGAAGTTGTCATTTTCTCAAGTGCCCCCTTTTGATACAGAGGCTTGTGCTCACTCATTTCGGAGCCGATGGCACTTGCGCTTGACATGGATCTGCGGACAGTATGCTATTGACCAATAGACGGATGTTTGGTTCAGATACACTTCCTGCCACGGGTTGCTGCACTCCGTAGTCTGCTAACATTGCAAAGCGATGCACCCTTGCAAGCTTAGCAATCGCAATGAGAAAAAGCAATCATGTGTCATCATGCGTATTTAAGGTCATGACACACGCTGGCTTAGCTTCTTTCGACCATGCCATTCCACATTGCTTGCTCTCGTAGCATGTTTGCCCCTACGAGAGCAAGCACTCGAACGATGCGACAAACCCCAGTAGCTCTGCTCGTGCTCGACAGATTCATGAATTTTTTATGGCGATAAGCACTTACACTGACATCATTTGAGGATCACTCTTCATGTTGTATTACTACAGACTGCAGCATTTCCGGTGCTGTAACAGAATGACCTAGTTCATAGAATACACCAATACATGATACGACTGAATGTGACCCTATACACAGGTGAATCCAGACACATTCCGAGGGAGAGTACAGATGACCTTCCTTTTTGCACAGTTTATTTATTGCTTTGTTTTTTGTGTGATACTATCATTATGCTTAACATGCTACAAGTTGCCTATATAAGTTAGATTACCAAGTAATGGGTTGATGTGTTAACTCCACATTGCAGAACTTCAAATATTTTCTTCGTTACTCAATAAGAAATTCTCCCTGACACCTGCATTGGGATCTACAATCAAACCTAACCCAAAATCTCTCATATATCATACGTCATGAAAGAACTTGATTGCTTGATTAGTCCGACATTTTGACGAAGGTGATGAGTAAAAAAAACACAGATGCACAAAACAAAAAGACAGACTTGCATCTGTTGTTTTGTCTGCATGGGGCTATCTCAACTTACCACACTTGACGACACAACAAAAGACTCCACGTATAATTTTAAATGCGCAAAACTGACCCAACGAAGCTTGAGAGAATCAACTAGCTTGTTATTCCTCATTGTGTCTCATAATCATATGGTAGTTTTGGGACGTTAATCCTCAACAATTGTGTTATTCCTCAGCGGCACAAGCCTTGGTGCTCAAGTTCATTTGACCAAACTTTTCTCAAGTCATTGAGATTCAGAACACGTCGGTCCATGATTTTTCTTTGCAAAACAAAATACCATTTAGAGTGTTGATAACATTGTAAGGAGTGCAACGATTACTTCAGTTAGAGTGCAATAGCATAGGCATTTACCATGGTGCCAAAGAGATCAATGTCCCGAATGAACGAATACAGAATCCCACAAAGTCAATCAATGATTATTATTAAGTTTTATTGGCACATGGGCATCCAAGGCCAAGGAGTGCCAGTACAAGCATGTTTCATTTCAGGTTATGTCTAAAAATTAAAACAAATGATGTGTAGCAAAAATCTATAAAATATTAAAACACTGTGTCTAACACTGTGCCACTTTGTTAAAACCTTCATTTTGTTGGCTGAAGTCTGTGACAATAAATGAGTTGCAAGGTCCAAGACCCTCACGGCTTAAGTCCTTGCCTGAGCAAGAACTGCGAAGGCTCAGACACACTTGTGTTTTTTGCACTAGGCGGTACCTCACACTTGAGGCGCAGCCTGGTGGCTAGGATGGAATGATATAAATCTCTTTACCTGGTTTGAGCTACTGTACTTGTGATGTCGACTCCATAATTGGACATGTAGCAGGGGTAGTCAATTAGGAAGAACAAGTGGGTGGCCGCTGCTCAGCAGCAACTGCTTCAAGTGCCGGCAAAAGGGCATCTCTCCTTATGGCACAACCTATTTATTGGCAGCCAGAATAACCAGGCACGACTGATGGGCAATAGTCTGTTCCATTACCTCCTTTGTCAGAAGGTCGTTTTGGCCAGTGAAAAACGCCGCAAGTAGATGCCACGGAACAATCGTGCCGCGCCAATATTTCCTTCCCCCAAATGAAGGCCCACCTTGTACAGCATGTTCTTGTTTAAATAGACAATTGCTAAAACTTGGTACTATACAGCTTCCGACAAAGTTCGGAAGAAAAAGCTACTGGGCTGTTTTATCAGCAAAGTCGGATTTGATAGCTGCAAAACCACACGAGTACCTTTCACACTCGCACCACTGCTATAGTGGCTGAAAAACTTCGTCCAGCGGCCGTGCCAGTAAACAGAAGGGGACATGGGTGGAGGTCCAAGTTAGCTTTTCCTTGAGAATGGTTCACCCAACTATCCTTTTCTGTCGCTGATGCACCATTACAAGTTGATTTATTTAATGTTGTATAAGGGCTAGGTGACGAGAGAGGGCAAATACAGTTGAACCCCTTCACAAGAGGCATGTTCGGGCAGCAGTTCTTCGTCTTTTACAGGAGATGACTCTTATAAGCTAGGTACTATCTACTCATTTTCTTATCAACCCATATTGTTGGCACACTGGGTTCTCTTATATCACTCATAAAGGGGTTTGTCTGTAAACCAGCGAGGTGCTCAACGATCTATTAAATAGTACCAGGTTGTCAACCTCGTAAACAGTTAACCGCCCTCCAGAATCTTTTCTGCTATAGAAGTTTGCCCAAATGACAAACTTTTTTCTTGCTAGCTAAACTGAACCAACCTGTATCTCATATACAGGGTTTACTTGCATTACTCCGAATTGTGGCCACTGCAGTACATTCCCATTAGAAGCAG